CACTACAAATATTAAAAAATTGACCACCGCCAACTATATCACATGGAACCTCTAAACTCAAAGTCTATTAAAAGGATCTAATCTCTATGGCTTTCTTGACGGTTCCCATCCTAGTCCCACACCAACCATCACCGTTGATGGTAAGGCAGCTCCAAACCCGACCTACACAACATGAAAATGCCAAGATTGTCTTCTCTTCAGTGCACTCTTTAGTGCAATCTCTCTATCCATCCAACCTCTTCCTGCTTGCGGTACTACCTCTCTAAAGGCATGGACCACCTTGGCTAATAACTATGTCAAACCATCATGTGGCCACATCAAACAAATTAAAGACCAACTGAAGAACTATGTCAAAGTTTTCAAAATAATTTTAAAGTATATGAAATTTATCAAAAATCGAGCCGATGAACTTGCTCTCCTATTGATGAAGATCTCATTGATAAGATTCTTGATGGCCTTGGCGAGGAATATAAAAGAATTGCCAATGCGGTTAATACTCATGAAACACCTATCTCCTTTGATGAAATACATGAAAAACTCATAAAAAAAGAGGCATCTCTCAAATAATCACACGCACTACCATCATTCCTTTCGACCACCACCCATCCTATCAATTGATGTAACAATCAATCATGGTGACCATCTCCTCCTCCTTAGCACCCTTATGTAACCATCCATATATAATCATAGACAACAATCTAATACTCCTCATAATGATCAACCTCCATCATGTCCATATCTTGGGCATTGCCAATGATGTGGTGCTCAAGGACACATTGTCAAACGATACTCTTTTTATCGGCTTATCAACGTCGATGGATGTTGAACCCATCAAAAATAATTTTCTATTCTAACAACAAATTTAGACATGTAGTAGTGATGAATAGGGTCGAATCGTCATAAAATTAAAAACTAATTTTTTCTCTTATGACTAATGATAAAAGCAAAAACTGGGGATTTTTGTTTTGATTAACTAAAGTGAACCAAGAAACTTAAAATGGAATAGTATAAAATATTTTCAGCAAGTAGATTGGGTAGTAAAATAGTTATGAATGGATTCCAGCTAAAGAAGTATTTCGATTTCAGTTGCAGGATCGACCACTAAAATAATGAATATTCTCATCAAGCTTTAGTAAACCAGTTCTAATTCTTGAAGAAGCTCCTAACAACCAATCTTTCCTTAATCCTATATTAACCAAAAGATGCTCGTTAGTTAATTCTTGTTAATAAACACCCCCAAAAATGCTCATAAAATTTAGTTTACTAACAATATTAAGATCTAAAAGATATTATTCTATTAATAAACTCAATCGTATAATTCATTCAAACCAAATTATACATAATCTTAGTATGAAACTAATTTATCACTAACATCAAGACAACATAAAAAATTACGGATTTAAGAATTTTGAATGATAGTATGCTACTACATTATATGCTCAACAAGCCCTGTTAAATGAACAACAAATAACAATAATAGTATGTGCAGAGAGACATACAAATACTAGAGTTTAAACAAGAACAACAATAAAAACAGTTAGATCTCACAATCTGAAACTAGAATTTCAACTAAATCTTTAACTAGAAAGATGTATTTGTTTAGCCACTCATGAAGAGCTCAATACACAACAAGTTGTTCTTATGGTTAATTAAGAGATTACAGAAAAAATTATCAAGAAAGATAAAGTCTGTTACTATTTTTTGGCCACCCTTCTCTTCTATTTTCCTTCTTATTTAAAGGCCGAGAGGATCAATGTTTCCTCTCGTGAAGATAAGGTTTTCCTCGATGATTTCTCTTTTTCTGCTTTTTAAAATCATTTTGTTTCCCACTTTCTAGTAAAAATGAGATCTTCTTTTAAATTTAAAAGCGCGATAAGATATCAGTATCTACTGTTATCGCTAGGGTCCAAGCCTTACCTAAGGCTTGTCTGTGCATGATTTGATACTTGCTACCGCTATTAAGGTGTTAGCTTTATCCAAGGGTTATTTATGTGTGAACTAATGCTTTCTACTACCACAAGAGT